AGCTCACAGCAACCTCCAACTCCTGGGCTCAAGCAATTCTCCTGCCTCAGCCTCCCAAGTAGCTGGGACCACAGGCACTGGCCACAACACCCGGCTATTTTTTGGTTGCAGCCATCATTGTTTGGCAGGCCGGGGCTGGATTCAAACCCGCCACCTTAGGTGTATGTGGCTGGCGCCTTGAGCCAAGGCACCGAGCCTTTCTTGTAGTCTTTTAAAATTTCTACTCTTTTGCCTTCATATGTTCAAATATTTACCCAGGCTCCAAACCTGACCTCCACTGATTCTCACATCCCTTGCATCACCCCCTCTCGCAGTGAATAAGGCTGGCCTATGTAAACAAGAGCATCTTATGAAAGGACAGAGTATGATTTCTAAGACAAGGTAGCTTTTGACTTGCTCTCTCGGATCACTTGTGGGGAAAGCCAGTGGCAATGTGGAACCCCAGGAGACTCAAATAGCCCTACAGGGATGTTCGCATGACAAAGGACTAAGGCCTCCCACCAAAAGCCAGCATCATTTGCTGTCATGTGAGTCAAGGGCAAGTCCAACAGAAGGTGAGAATCAGTGGAGGTCAGTTTGGAGGCTGGCTATTCTACAGCTTAACTTAAAAGTGTAATAATACATGCCTAGTATATAGCAAGCAGCTAATAAATAAACACACATCATCCTGGAGGCAGATCCTCACCCTTAGTCCAGCCTTCAGATGCATCTCTGGATGACATCTCGACTGCTACATTCAGAACCACCCATCTAAGCCAAGCCCAAACCCCTGACCCACACAAAGTATGAAATAAGTGTTTATTGTTTAAGCTGCTAAGTTTTGAGGTAACTAATACAATTATTGGTGCTATTATAATAATTTTTTTAGAGTATGTATTATAGTAAGAGGTACTCTACTCCTGCTCACCTACTCAAGGACATTCTTCCAACAATTTACCCTCTCAGTCTATTTTTTCCTCTCTACTGGACTGCTGCAGTCATGAAGTTACAAACATGCAGTAACTGCTCCCACATCCTCATCTAGCTACTTGTCTCATTTCTCTAGTCTTCTTTAAAGCAAAATTCTTCAAAAAGTTATCTATGTATCCCTACTTCCAATGCTCTTTACATTTCTCCTTTAATTTTTTAAAAACTATGAAAAATTTCGGCTTGGCGCCTGTGGCTCAAGTGGCTAAGGCGCCAGCCACATACACCTAAGGTGGCGGGTTAGAATCCAGCCCGGGCCTGCCAAACAACAATGACGGCTGCAACCAAAAAATAGCCGGGCGTTGTGGCGGGCGCCTGTAGTAGGAGACTCACTTGAGCCCAGGAGTTGGAGGCTGCTGTGAGCTGTGAAGCCACGGCACTCTACCCAGGGGGATAGCTTGATGCTCTGTCT